GGGGATCATATGTTTATTAATGTGTCACAAGTTGCTGGCTTCCTGTTAGCTCTTCTTGGTAAATAGGACTGTAGTGTTCATTGGTTGCTGCTTTATTTTTAGCTTTTTTTTTTTTTTTTAATTTTTATTTATTGTTAGTTTCAGGTGTACAGAACAATGCAATAGTTACCCTTTTCACCCTCACAAAGTAACAACCCCCCACCCCCCATCCACTGCCCTCCCACCCCCATATCATGCTTTTAAAATCACCTCCTGATGAACAGAAACAGTAAACAAGTATTAAAACATCGAAAGTAATTTGGAAATAGTGCTATCCTGGGGAGTCTGGAATTCCAGACATTACCAGCCAGTTGGAAATCAGCAGTCACCTCACAGAGCTGGAAGATCAATGTGAGGAAAGTAACAAAACCTAAGTGTGCTCGTCTGGGGTCAGTTGCATTTATAGAAGAGCAGGAGGACATGGCTGGGGTGAGGAGTCCATAGTTGTCACCAACTTTACTCATTCTTTACACAGTCCCATATCCCAGATGAAAAAATTCAAAGACGTATCTCAATTCTTATGCTTCACACTAATTAAGCACAAAGAACTGAAGCCATCATCATGGTGATACTGTCTAGCTAATCTACCTTCTCAACAAACACTGTGTTTCCGTATTACAAAATGAAGACATAAAGGGAGTAGGGAAAGGGGGCGCAGTACTTCCAGTAAGTTCTAACATGGGTTGTGTGCTCACCAGAAGACTGGCAATGTTCTGAGCTCTTTATGTGTTCTAACACGTTCAATTTCCACAACCACCCATGGGGTCTTCAGTTGTATCTTCGTGTTGTATACATAAGGAAACAGAAGCCTAAGGAATCAAGTAATTTTCCTTCATTTCATAAAGAATGAGTGTTTGAGCTAGAATGTGAATCTCTGCGGTTGGGCTTGGGAGATCTTGCTCTTATAAGGCGGTGTGGTGTGTGGTAAAACCCACTAACAACTGTCATCAGTAGGAGAGGATTAATGTGACGAAAAAGAAAACCTAAGGCTCATGAATTTAAAAGATTAATGTGGAAGGTTCAAAATTAGAATTTACTGATTTACTTCTTAGAAAAGTCTGTTCTTTAAGAATTCTAACGTGTTGTACAAATGTCAGTATTATTCCAAAAACAATGTTTTCTTATGGCACATTTGAAGTGCGTCCTCAGATACTTAATAGCTTAACTTGTCTGAAAAAATTCTTTTCAAGTGAGTTTGGGAAGAGTGTGAGCTTGGGAAGAGCGTGCTCTGGTTTGTACTGGCGTGAAGTTAATAAATAATGCATGAGCAATATTGCTGGCAAACCCAAGGAGGATTTCTTTTCTACTTGGTTGTGAAGCTCAAACTAAAATCGAACACTCTTTTCTCTCAAAGCTGTTTCTTTTTCAGTATGTTCCATGCTGAAAGATTGACTCTACCTTTCATATACTTATCTGAGAAAAATTCTTCACTACCTTGGATGCCTCTCTCTTGCCTTTGCTCCTTCGCTGTCACATTGATTCTATATCTGAAATATATTTTGAACATGATCCCTCCTTTCTATCTCAACGAGCATTGCCTTTGTTGAAGCTGCCATTTTTTTTCCTGAATGAATGTGGTTGCTTTCTAATTTGTCTCACTGCACTTTGTTCTCCTTCCAATTCAATCCATTTTCCTCCCTACAATGAGAAAAATCTTTTCCAAATCTAAATGTCATTATTTCCCAACATAAAATCCAAACTCTTTGCCCTGGCGAACGTGACTTTCTGTCTGGCTCCCGCACACCTCGCCAGTCTCAGTTCCTGCCGTCCCTTTATAACTATTTTATAACCCAGCCACACCAAATTATTTGCTGTTCCTCAAACATGCCAAGTTTCATGCTTTTTTTTTTAAGATTTAATTGGCGAATTGGGGGGAGGGAACAGCGTTGGGGAATCGGGGAAGGGGGACAGACAAGTTGCTGTCCCTTTGCTCCTCAGCCCAGCCGTGGAGGACATCGCTTCACTGGCCCATGTTGGCATCATCACCGCGTTCTTCCCAGCTGAGGCAGATTGGTCGCCGGCCGCTGGATGGCCGCTCATGGTGGCTCTTGGCAGCTCACTCTAGCTGCCAACCACTCACGGTAGCTCAGGGCAGTTCACTGTGGCGGGGGCTGCAGCCTACGCTGTCACCAGCGATTCACAGCAGCCCAGCTCCAGTTGAGGTGCCGTTCACCATCTTAGCTGTAGAGAGCACAGTGTCACTGGCCCAACATGTGGGATCCAAACCAGGGCCCTGCTGCTCAGAGCTGGCTTCCCAAGCCAACTCTTAACCAACGCGCCACTTGGCCGGCCCTGTATCATGCTTTTAAGCCTTTGTGAGTACGAGTCCCCAAATAGCCTTTCTGAAAATTGCCAAATTCCTTTTTATTATTAATATTTTTATTATTATTAGTTTCAGGTATACAAAACAACATAGTGATTAGACATTTACACACCTCCCAACCATACTACTACCCCTCTGGCACCGTGCATAGCTTTTACAGTATCATTGACTCTATTCCCTATCCGGGTATCTCAGTTTATAAAGACTTCTTCTTGTTTCTTTCTTTGACACTACTGTGGTAGTACATAGCTCTTTGTAGGACTTATCATGTTGAATTTCAGCTTTTTACTTGTGTATCAATTCTGGACTCTGTCGGGCTGAGGGCAGGGATGTGTCTTAACTTTCTAGCAAATTCCCTGAACACATTCCCTTGGGACTTTCCTCAGGCTGATTGACTTTGTTTGTTGGTTAATAGCTTCACCTATTAAATATTTTAGATCTACCTGTAGACTACATATTATACAAAGCTAGAGAAATCTACATTCAATAATTCTAGATTCTAAATTTGTGGAAATTTTCTCTATTACCCAATATAAAAGTGAATAATTGCCTGTAAAATAAAACTGTGTTTTTCTCCTCTACTCTTAACACTTGTCACACAAGATATGTGGGATTTTTCCCACACCAAGCAATTCTGCAGCACCAGTTGGGTGTCCCACAATTCAATTCAGTTCTGACGCCATCTGCCTGGGATTTACATTACATCCCATAGGTTAAGGGCTCAGTTCCACAGACTGCCCCACCCTCCCTGACACACACACACACACACACACACACACAGACATTCAGATGCCAATGGCAATTCCAGGTTGTCACCTATGCTTCTGACTGACCAGCTATAAATATGGGGTTCCCTCACCTCCCTCCTGGGATTCAGTCATTTGCTAGAATAGCCCACAGAACTCAGGAAATCATTACTTGCTATTGCTAATTTATTACAAAGGACATTTCAAAGTATACCAATGAACAGCCAGACAGAAGAGATGTGTAGGGCAAAGTCTGGGAGAAGAAGCACAGAGTTTCCATGCCCTCTCTGGCGGTGCCACCTTCCCAGCACCTTCATATGTTCACCAACCCTGCAGATCATCAGGTCTTTTTGTTGAAGAGTTTTCTTGGAGCGTAATGTACCCTCTTCCCTGAAGGTCGGTTGGTGGGGCTGAACCTTTCAACCCTCTGACCCCTTGGTCTTTCTGGTGACCAGCCACTTTCTGAGGCTTCCCAGGGGCTCTACCCTAAGTCAGCTACTTTCCATAAACTCTGTTGTGATCAAAAGGAGACGCCTTATAAATAACAAAAGACACTCCTATCACTCAGGAAATTCTAAGAGTTTTAGGAGACCTGTGCCAGGAACCTGGGAGAAAGACCAAAGATATGTTTTATTATACCACAACTAGCTATTTTCTGGCCATTCTCATCATGTCATATTAGCATTTTTTAAAAAGCAAGCAAGACTCTACATCAAGTTGCTGCGGAGACATCAGAGCAACTTGGCTGAATAAGGAAAACTTGGGGGGCTGTGGCTCATGCACACCAATGCAGAGCAGAGCGGAACCAACATCACTGAGCACCTCTGACAGGCCAAACAGATTTTGATTTTGTATCACATTTAATGCTCACACAAGTGTTGTCCATGCACCCCACCTGAGAGGTCCAGAGGGGTGAAGTAAGTTGCCCAAAGTTGCAGAGACAGTCAGCAGTGAAGTTCAAATGCAGGACTTCCATGGTCAAATACGCAAATAAGCCACTGGGCACTTTCCAAATGAGAAGTTCTCTACGAAACCTGGAATCTGATGTTTTATTCCTCTGTATTCTCACTGCCTGGCACCATGCCTGACACATTATCCGTGTTCGCAGATAGCGAACAGAGATGGTGCAATTTATTAGAAAACTTCATTTGGTCCCAACACATTCGAAGAAATCTCTGCACATGATTTCTCATGTACCCCAAGTTATAAACCTGATTTAGGAACCAGCAAAGAGTAAAATGAGTCACTGATTTAATGAAACAATTCTGTAAAATCTATCAGATGGGGCTGCCCTTACATAGTACATTAGAATGTTTCTCCTGTCTGACAACCTGGACTGCAGGTCCCAACCCAAATGGATATGAGTCTGTAAAGATGGTGACTTTGCAATGCTTTTATCCAAGACTGTTTTCTGCCCAGACTCATTGATAACCCAGACTCATCGTCTTATCAAGACAGCCATAAGAATTGAGCAGCCCTATGCCTGTCCTTCTATTATGCTTAATAGGTCAGTTATATTTTTCTACTTCTCTGTTGCGTTTGCCAATTTTAACCAAAACCCAGGCTTCACATTTTCCTGGCCTGAGTTTTCCTTTATTCCTTTTACTTTTCTAGATACAAAAATCTTTGTTGAACATTTTTTCAAACCAAGCCTGTATATAATACAAAAAAATTTTCCAGCAAATGAGAAGTATACAAATGGTTTCACAGAACCAAGCATTGTTTAGCTAGGTAGCAAGAGACCCCTGTGGAATAAGCTACAATGCTGTAACATTAATTAATCAATAGAGTTTTTGCTCCTCTCCCCCCTCCCCCTAAAGTAAACACAGTGCCTCGGAAACACTTGCTTTTTGTTCACACTAGGCTACCATATTTATTCTGCTTCCTTTCAGAAACTCCACTTACTGTATGAAAGTATCCATCTCACTGACAGTGGGTGAAAATGACACTGGACTCTGCTACAATTCCAAGATGAAGTACTTTGATAAAGCTGAACTGAGCAAAAGCAAGGAAATTTCCTGCCGTGACATAGAAGATTTTTTACTACCAACCAGAGAACCTGAAATCCTATGGTATAAGGTATGGACTTTGAATGATTTTATTGCTTATACATAGATTAATGTATATCTTATTCTTGGAAAAGTCAGATAAAACATTTTACTGGGTGTGATACAGTTCAGCTCTGCCTTCCTAAAATATTACAGCAAGTTGTGCGGGTCATTTTAAGTTTTCAAACCAGTGGCTTTGATAAATGCTAGTTAATATTTGTATTGGTAGCCCATTGTAATAACCTTTGTGTTTGTATTTATATCTGGTTTATACCTACAGTGCCTTCAAGTCTATTACAATCTGCATTGAAAATTTCAGGAACTAAAACTAAAATTCATTTCAGAGCTCTTCATATAAACAGTCTAAAATGTCCCCAAACAAGGAGAGAAATGATTGATTTGCTTTTCTGGTAAAATAACACTGGTTTTATTGAAATGTTCTGTTTAATGGAAGTATCTTTGTGCATATGCTAACCCTTTTCATATAAAAGCATACATATTTTAAAAAATAACATCTGATGAAAATTTATATTATAAAAATAGTATTAGATTAACATTTTCCAAAAATCAAAGGAACTGTAGACGTAAGCAGAATAATCCAATCTACCGTTGCTGTCATGTCATTGACTTTCACTGAATTTCAAGATTTGAACGTAGCCTTCCACTTATTTATAACATAAATGATATTTTCATTATTGAACGTACTCAAGGAAATACCTTATAGAGGCTGTACACATTTGTCTGGACTATTTGTCTGGAATATTCCTAGTGTAAAATTTGCTTTGTCCAACTCACTGGAGGTAGGAATTTAGGAAGCTGGACCTCTTAGTAACTAGATTCACTAATGTCAGTATACAGAATGTGAACCCTCATAACTGATTGCCCATGAATTCAAAACTTGTTGGAAATGAAACAAGAAACAAATCTTGAATAATTTTTTAAAGGATCTTGCCAAAATTAGCAATGCCCTTCTCTGAGTAAGGCTTAATTTTGATTCTTCATGATAAGTAATGGAGGATTCAGAACAGCAAGGTCCCTGTTGAAATAGTTTTCTACTTTCCCTTGAATTTCTACCTTGGAAAATGTCAAACAGCCCTCCAATATTAGCCTCCCTGATTCCTGTTCCAGTACAGATGAATTTTTTTCCCTTTTTAAGTTGGAGGACTACTTCTCATCCTGATTCTCTGTAATTTGCTTACTTTCCACACGCAGATTCTGAGCAAGTCCTGATGATGGCTTCAAAAGGGAGAGGTATTTGGGAAGTTTGACCCAAGGTCTCCAAGAACAAATATTTTTCTAGTACTCATATGTGTACATTCAGCTGCTAGATATGTGATTCTTTGTTGTTTGCTAATAATTTGATCTTAAGAGTCACATGCCTTTTCTCACTTTTAGCAAACTGTGTCTCAAAATGTACTGAAAGCTTAGAAACTATGCATGCACATACACACACTCAATTTTTAGACTAGCTGCCCTCACATTGGTTTTTTAGTCATGTTTTCACTATCACCCCAATCACTGTGATCTTAAGCTATAGAGACCATAACTAGTGAAGTGATGAATGGAGATAAGGTATATGTAGAATTTAAAAGTCTTGTAACAATTCATATTATTTTTCCATAGTCAAGAGAATATATATTCCATACATTCAGTGTATAAGTTATGCAGTTATCACAGTATGTGCAACTAATATGGGGGTATAAAATGTATATTTTGGTCTGAAATAACTGAATAATTATCCCTGAATTATACAAAGGCATTGGCACACCTAATAAAAATAATGGTCTGTAAAGATTTGACTTGGCAAATTTTTTTATAGAAATAATATTACCACTGAATAGTGTCAAAGTGTTTAAAACTGTTTTATCCTCATTCCATTGATTTCAAATCTGGCTGGAGGAAATAGACTTCTTTTTGACAAAAACAGAAATCTCCTGAGCAAATGTCATTATAATCCAAAGCTTAATTCAGAGACCATAATTTGGTAGCCTCATCAACAATGAAAATAGATATTTATGAAAGTATAAAGACCTTTCATATAAATATTGGCCCTTTCTTTCATCGATTATAAAATGTACGTGCTCTGAGGAGATTTAACTATTTCTAAATGAAACATGAAAATATTTAAAATATTGAAATAGAAGCATTTTCCTCTGTAGAATTACTTTTACTACTATCTACTGAATTTACTCATTTTGTATTTTATGTTATCAGTATCAAGATGGTTAATTTCATAATCATCAAATGTGGAGTATTTGCTTTTAAAAATGTCAGGACTAATCATAACAAATGTCCCTTTTCACATATCTAATAAATTAATACATATCTGATTCAGAGACACTAATCTTAGAAGTTAATAAAGTAACTCTTTCTAAAAATACTTTTTTAAAATTGAGGTACCTGATTTTCCAAAGATGTGGAGAAGATGTGAACATCTTTAACATGAATCCCAAACTATTTATTTTAGCCCTTTAAAATTTTAACTTAAGAAGCTTTTAGTTTAGTTATTCTGAGTACTTTATTTTTCAGTTCAGTCTATATAAATAACATATAAATATAAGTACTATATAAACAATATGTAGTCCTTATAAAATGTATAAATACTGTATGCACTACAAAAATGCATGTTCTTCATGTAGGAATGTAGGACAAAAACATGGAGACCAAGTATTGTATTCAAAAGAGATACCCTGCTTATAAGAGAAGTCAGAGAAGATGACATTGGAAATTATACGTGTGAGTTAAAATATGGAGGCTTTGTTGTGAGAAGAACCACGGAATTAACTGTTACAGGTAAGAAGAGTCTTTGGTATTTCATTTGCAAGTAATGAAACTACCATTTTAAGTTTAATTTTTGTGCCCCATGTTGATATTTTCAAACCTGTGCAATGAAAGAAGTACTTAACAAAATGCTAAGTGGATTCCTATAGGTGAAATGTATTCCTCCTTGCTTTGAAAATCATCTTGTACTTAAATGCATTTGAAAGGTTAAAGAAAATATGCTTACGGAATTATAGAAATGTTAGAGTTCGAAAGTACTTGAAATAATGAGTTTACAATTTCAGAAAATGATGCTTATACGATATTTTGTAGTGGTATCATTTTCAGAAACATTTTCTAGAGGGTTGGAATGGAATATATGAAATCTATCTTTGTCTTTTTGTCTTGCTCCAAATTAGAAAAATTACTTTTTTATTCGTTCATCACTCTATGAGTCTCACATATGTGTTCTCATGAACTTGAAAATAACATAATTTCAGGGGCAGTAATTGAATAATTCTGTGACGTGTGCATGGAGTCTTTCCCATAAGTGCTTGCGGAGGTAGAAGGGCGCTAGAACAACTCACTAGTCACGTGACCTTGTTTGGATCACCACAAGCTTCTGAATATCAGTTTCCTTATGTATTAAATGACAATGATAAAATTTGCCAAATTTGGGGGGGTGGGTTGCAAGGATCAAATGAGGTAAGGTAATATATATGAAATCAATTTGCAAAATACAGAATTATATCCAAATGTGCATCATTTTTGTTATTTTTGTGTCACATGGAATATTGTGTTCATACCCTTTTTTACTTTATAGTGTACTTCTCTCAAAGTGCTTCTAAGGTAAAAAGGGAGGAGGAAACAAGAGCAATATTGGGAAATTAAATACATTATTGTCATCTTATTGAGAGAGATTCTTCTTGGTGACATTTTTGTACAGTCGTATTTATGAAACATATTGGATCGTCGGGCAAGTCATGACGCATTTTTGCATTGAGAAACATAGAAAAATACGTCATGACTTTCCCGACGACCCAATATATTAAAAAGTATAAAAAGGATATCAAATATTTTAAAGAGATTTTTATTTGTTCAATGATTCATGTAAGATAGTTTTTCTGCATATGAAAAGTGTTTTGTGATAGTCACTTTCATCTTACAATAATCTTTTAAATCTTGAATTATGTATTTTGACTTTAAAACTAAATCCAATTTCATGAAATTTATTTGGTGAATAGTAATTATTGTGATCGAAAGACAATTGAGTTAAATAAATAAAATACTCTTTGGTGTAATGCCTTTGAAAAATATTAGACCTGGTAAATAACTGGCACTTGAAGATATGACATACTTGAATAGTAAACACATATTCAGTCTTGTATTATGGGCCTATGGTATGCATGTGTATAATTTACACAAAATTGGTTATCAGTTTTGCTGTGTGTAATAGGTCTCTGTATAGAAAATTAAAATTAACACTTTGTCACTTTACCTCCCTGTCTATTTAATGGAAAAGTGAAAAATGTGACTTTCTATAGATGGGTTTTCTTTTAGATATTGACTTCTTTATTAATTTTTTTCTCAGTCTATATAAAGTAGCTTTTCCAAGGAGTAGGTACTGAGATAAAGGAATTTAAAAATATAATGAAAAACTATATTCTGAAATGAAAATAGAATGTACCTTTGTCTTAACTCTTTGGAGTGTTGAACTGACCCTTGGTAAGCACATCTTTCCCCTTACTAGAAATACTAGGTAGGATACTAAATAACTATCTAGTAAGAGGAGATTGGAAAACGATCTCATGGAGACTGGAAACTGGGTCCCAAATTGTAAAACAACTTATATGAGGCTATTTTGTATAACCAACAATAGAATTGTTTTCTCCTAAATGCTACCCAGGGCCACTATATTTTTCTAACTTAATTCCTCCAAAAATATCTCCTTTTCTTTATATGAAAAGAAGGAATAACTATTTCTTGATATCCAAGAGGAAGTTAGTAAAAATTTTCACTCAACTGATTATCATGAATACCTCTAACTTAAATAGCCTTACCTGTGACACTGATTTGGGCAAATAAGTAATAAAGCCAAGTTTGACGATATATGAAATTTGGGGTGAGTGGGAAAGCTGAATTCCCTAGAATTGCAAATAGTTTGTATTAAAACGCATTATAGGTATTAATAAGTCAATTGATAAGATATATTTATGCGTAACATTGCTTTAAACGGTGTGACACTATAGCACATTTACTTTACCTATGGCCAAATTCAAGCACAATTCTTAGAACCCAAATTATATCTCTCAGTAAAGCAACAAAGGTAGGCAGTTCTCTGGATGATAATTAATCACTTATCATCATGTTTTATATCTTGGTTTTCTATACACTGTGATCATACTTTGTTTAATATAAACATTATGCAAAGCATGATTATCATTTACTTCTAGTGGCTCTGCCATAGCTCATCATAAATATTTCAAAGTGCGTTAGAATGTTTCTTTAAAATAAATAAGAAAGAATCCTACATGTGAAAAGAAAAGGATATTTCAGGATAAAGTGGCTAAATGTGGTGAGCTTTTCTGGGAGATCCTTCACTTATGAAAAGCGCATGCATCTACTTAGGTAAAGTAATGGTTCAGGAAAACAGTGAAATAAATAATAAACCTGCCCAGCACTTTGGGGATACTTTAAACATTTTAAAAAAATTTTAAGCACTTAAGGTGCTTTAGCCTTGTCTCCAACCTCTACCCTGTTCTGTTAGCCTCAGCCACACTGAAGTTTGTACCGTTCTGCTCCAGATATTCTTCCACTGAGGCCTTACTCATGGCTGTGCCCCCCTGCAATGCTTTTCCTTCCGCGTTGTCACAGGGCTGCTGCTTACTCTTTCTTCACGGTATCGCTACAATATTCCCCTTGTTTTGAGGCCTGTAGCTCTTCATGCCTTCACAGTACTTTTAGAATCCCTATTGTAGCACTGACCACATTTACCTTCTAACTATTTTCTGACACACCTGTTTTTCCACATGAACATGAGCTACTCAGAGTCAAGGGCAATATCTTTTTTTTCTTTAAAGAAATCATTGTATTTTAGAACAGTTGTATATTTATCGAAAAAATCATAAAGGTAGTAGACAGAGATTCTATATACCCCAAAGCCTGTTTCCCCTATTATTATTAACCTCTAACATTAGTATGGTCCATTTGTTACAATTCATGAACTAATACTGATACATTATTAACCAAAGCCCATACTTTATTCAGATATCCTTAGCTCTTACCTACTGTCCCCTTTTTGTTTCAGGAGCCCACCCAGGATAGGGTATTACATTTAGTTGCCATGTGTCCTTAGCTCATTTTGGCTATGACTGTTTAACTTTCCTTGTTTTTGTTGTTCTTGACCAATTAAGGAGTACTGGCTATGTAGTTTGTAGAATATCCTGCAATTGTGATTTCTTTGATGTTTTTCTCACGATTAAATTTTGGTTGTATATTCTTGGAAGACCCACAGAGGTAAAATCACAACATATTGTACTATCAGCATGACGTATCCCTGTTGATTTTGGCCTTCATCACCTGAGGTAGTGTTTGTCAGGCTTCACCACTGTGAAGTTACTTTTTTTTCTCCGATTTCCATACTGTAGTCTTTGGAAGGAAGAAATTATCTGCAGTCCACACTTAAGGAGTGAGGAGTTATGCCTTCACTTCTTTGAAGGCAGAGTATCTACTTGAATTATTTAGAATTTTTCTGCATAGGACATATATCTATTTTCTCATCTTTGTCTATTTATTCAATCATTTAGCTATATCAGTATGGACTCACATATTTATTTTATACTTTGGTATATAATCCAGTGTCACCTTATTTATTTTGTTGCTCAAATTGTACTAGCTCTGGCCCTTACGTCTTTTAGTTGATTTCTTTGTCCTTTTGACATACGCCCCCATCATTTGTGTGCGTGTGTGTGTGTGTGCGCGCGCGCGTGTAGGCGCATATCTTTATTTCTGGGCTGCACAACATGCTCCAGGATCACCGTTTGTATTTCCTGTCCCTGCCCTAGATCAGCTATTTCTTCCAAAGAACTCTCTCTTTTTTTTTTTAATTGGAGAATAGTGCTAGAAACTAAGATCTGGGCATTGGGAATACTCATTGCTACTAAGGCACAGTTGCTTCTAAGACCTCTCTCAGTTGATAGGGCAAGAACTATATGTGTATACTAGCCCAGATATATACATATATCTATAAATATGTGTATCTATAACCATCTGTGTCTACCTTAAGCTAAACATAAGTTCATACTGATGTCTCCAACTTTAATCCATTACCACAGGCATTATTCTAGCCTCTTCCCCTTACTTATCTGTAACCTCCCTTTCCAATAGGGAGAAACTTGGTTCCCAGCATCTGCCAAACATTTACTTAATTGTTCACTTTCAATACAGATGAATAATGAGCTCAGAATTGTTAAGCAGTACTCCTGTGAAAAACAACCTTATCAACTAGAGTACAGTCCTAATATACAGATTCTTTTGCCTTTTGTCTTACAGACTCCACTCATTTCCAGACTTACTTAGGTTAGCCCCTTTTCCCCCAACCCCCTTCAGTAAAGTTGTCTCACACATTTGTAAGACAGTCAGGTTGTTCTATCACACTGTGCATTCCACCCTGGGATCTTCTAGTCTCCTAAATGATATCTTTAAAAAATTGTATATATGAACCCTTTCACTGTGTTAATTGATTTCAACTTTTTTCAAAATGTGTCAAAAATCCACCAAAAAAGTTGACATTTTGACTATTTTATGCATTTAATAACATTTTGAGCTGCTTTGTACATAAATGACATTATTTTTATTTTAAACCTTTGTTATATGGTCATAAATTTACCATTATATTAAATTTTAGCAAAAAATACTCAAAATATACTAAGTGGCATCAATTAGATTTAAGTATAGATAAACTAGAATTTAATGGCATTGATGACATAAGAAATTTATTGCAAAATGTGCACAATATGGCATACAAAACATGT